TTTTATTTTTTCACCTGTTCAAATTTAATAATAAACTTGGATTTGGCATAATCTCAAATTTTTTAAACTTAGATGGCTTGAAAAGGAAAAAATACCGGGGGCGGATTTAAATGGGATTTTAAATTTTTTTTTACATATTAAAATTTCAATTTCAGGGGAAAATTCGCAATTGAAATTCAGAAAATTAAACCCCTTGGGTGAGAAAATAAAAATGCTCCCCCCTTTGTATAAAAAAGCAGTTGTTTGTTCGAGAAAAATGGGATCTAAATTTTATTTTTTTTTTTTGGGGAAACAAAATAAAAATACCCCAAGGGGTAATAACCCAAGTTTTAGAACAATTTTTTCCCAAGTTTTTTAAAAAATTTTGATTAATGGCAACGGTTTTACTGCTCCCAAAAGTATACAATTTATTTCCGGGAAAATTCCCCCAAATTAAACCCAACGGAGCAAGAAAAATAAAAAAGGTTGTTTTCAAGTTTTAAATTCCCTGTTTTTAGATATTTATTAAAAAAGGGGTCTCCCGGGATTGCTGGGATTTTTTTTTATTTTTCTTTGTTTAAAACATTGAGGTTTTTTTTACACAGTGCAGTAAATCCTTTTTCACCGGCCCATTTGAAATGGTTTTACCCAACCTTTAAAACAACGGATTTAAGGGCCCGGGCCAAATTTAAAAGTAAAAAAATCCATTTCCATCGGGCTCGTTTCGTTAAATATATTTTTGAAGGGAAGGATGGGGTTCCCCGTTTTTTATTGAATTAATTTATTTTTCCTCCTACAAAATTTTATTAAAAAAATAATAAAAATAAAAATTTGCAATTAAAAATTTTTAGCTAAATCCCCCAAATTTTTTGTATTATTTCCAGGAATAAAAAGAAATAGTATCTATAAATTTTACTTAAAACAACTACCTATTTTACTTACTCTCATTAATGCAAATGGTTCGCCAAGTTTAAAAATTTTTGTTTTTGCATCTAACAAGAAAAGGGAAGGGGGAAGGAAAATTTGGATTTGTTAAAAAAATATTTCTTGGTTAAATGTTTTTGCAAACTGGGAAAGGTTTCCCCCTCTTATCTGGCCCTTTTTACGCATCAAAGGGCTAAAAACTTTTAATCCATTATTAATAAAAACGCCTTTAAAAATTTCGGCCAACAAGTTAAACCATCCGGAAATTGAAAAAATAAATAATTAAAAGTTTTTAAAAATGTGGTTTAAAAAAAAACAAATTGAATATTGTAAGAAATGTTTTATTCAATTTTTAATAAAAAATTTAAAAAATTTTACAAAAAAAGTTTGAGGAGAATGAAACTGTTTTTTCCCCTAAAATAACATAAAATTTGGAAAATTTTAAAACAGTGTGTTTGTAAGAACCCAAAATTTTTTTTCCCAGGTTTGGGGAGTTTTAAAGCTCCTACAAGGTAAAAAAAGGGTTTACACCCCAAACAAACATATCCTTGTTTAATAAAGAAAATTTTTTTAAAAAAAACAGGGGGTATCCTTTTTAAAAAAATAAAAATTTTTGTTACATGAAAAACGGGTTTTTGCCTTTAAATTATTGAATGTACTAAAATTTTAAAACATTTGGGTTCGTTTTCCTTAAAAATTTAAAAAAAAATTTTCAGCAAAAAAAATTTTAAGGTTTACATCAATTTTGGGTTAACAAAAAAAAAGAACGGTTTTAATAATAAAAGGAAAAGTCCTCCCCATTTAACATGGTTCCCCAAAGGGGGGAGGTAAAAGAATGAGTTGGAAAATCCATGTACTTTTCTAAATGGGAAGGTTTTCCCCAAAAGATTTTTTTCGATGGCGAAAAAACCATCTGAAAAATTTTCCCCAAAGCGAAAAGACTTTTATTAGCTTTTCAACCACCACAAAAGGGATTTTTAGAAAAGAAAGGCCCCAGCACCCCCAGTGATGAAAACAAATTTGATAAAAATTTTAGGCCCTTTAAATCCCAAGGGACAAAAAAAACAAAACAGCTTTATGCCCCTTTAAAATTTTGGAAAACAAACTGGCATTTGAGTGTTATTTTAACAGTTAGTTGGAAAAATCCTTAATTTGGAAAAATCTTACACACTGAAAAAATTCCAAAAACTTATTAAAATTTTTATTTAATTTAAAGGGGTTTTGTTTTATTTGTAATTTTAAAAGGTTAAAAAAACCCCGAGAAATTTCAACCTTTAATGAGAAAATAAAGGGGCCCAGGGTTTTAAAATTTGTTTTAGCAAAGGGAAAAATTTTTAGCCCCAATTTTGGTATAAGAAAAAAAATTGAAAATTGTAATTAACGATAAAAACGGCAACATTGGACCGTTGTCAATTAAGCAGGGGAAACAGACACAGATAATTAAGTAAATAACGTCAGACACTCAACGGCTACGCTACGTGAATAATAAAAATAATTCAAGCATGAAGTTATAACTGCGGTGTAACTTTCAACTATTTTGAATCAAATATGCCATAAATACGGAAACATCCTGGTGCCAATTAATCATGTTCTATAAAAAATGATAACTCCTACGTTGGAGATAAAAAAAAACCTAATTATGAGTTTCTAACTTCTACGTAGGATTTTAAAAGTCCTACGTAGAACTTTTAAACTCATACATAGGACTTTTAAACTCCTACGTAGGACTAATGAAGTCCTACGTCGGAGATATAAACTTCTTATTATGCTTTTATATCTCCTAAGTAGGAGTTTTAAATCCCGCGGCCCTTTATAAATCAGCTTTCCCCTTTTAAAATTCCCATTTTAAATTTTTGTTTTGCGCCCATTTGTCCCATTTAGGGCAAAGCAAAATTTTTTTTCTTTTGGGGACCATAGCCGCTTTTCCCTGGAATTCCCCCTAAAAAGTGTCACATTGGGGAAAAAGGTTCCCTTAAAAACCGCCCTAAAGAACAAAAATTTTTGCGGGGTTTCTTTAAAATTTTAAATATTTTCACATTTTCCCTGTTAAATGTTGAAATTCTGCTATAAGGGCCCGGGGGGTGGACGGAAAAATTGCATTTTCCCAATTTCCCGTCCCCAAAGAAACAGGGGCCCCCAATAAATTTTAGCATTGGGAACATTTTCAAATTTTTTTTTTGTTGGGCTTTTCTTTTTCTCTAATTTTTAAAAAAGTCCTATGGAGGAAATTAAAAAGGGCCGGGTTGTAGGGAGATAAAAATTTCCCCCAAGTAAAGGAGTTTATAAAGTCCTAACCCTAGGAGTCATAAAATCCTAATAAGAACTTTTTTTTATCTCCTAAAACCCGAGGAGCTATTCATGTTTTTTTAGAACAAAAGATAAATATGCACCCCAGGGACGCTTTTCCGTACCATAACAAGAAAAAGCAAAAGCACACAAAAGGGGAAGATAACTTTTTAACAAAGTTTTGAATACATAAAGTTATTTTAAAGCGTGCTTTTGGATCTTCAATGATATTATGCCATAAAAGGTGTAAATTCTGTTCATATTTTTAGCCAAAATAGTTGAAGACGAACAGGGAGCAATAAATCTTTCCCAATGTTGATTTAAGGAACATTAAGATATTCACAAAGTTGTTTCTGTTCCCATCAGCCCCTTATAGTTATGATATTGAGAACGGGTTTTGAATTGGAAAAAACGATACGTTTTGCTAATACTGTTTATGGTTCTGTTTAACAGTCCTAATAATGTCAAATAGATTTTTTTCACAAAAATAAATTAAAAAAATAAAATTTTTAAAAATGAACCTTTAAAAAAAGGATTACATTTTTTTCAGCTTTTTTTTTGGGGAAATTTGGGACCAAAAAAAAGCCAAAATTATTTTTGGGAAACAACAATTATGTTTTAACACATAAAAAGTCAAACCGAATATGAAAAGACAAAATGGTCCCTCCCTTTTTTTTGTTTAACTAACACATGAACTTAAAATACACACACAATACACACATGCAGTATAGAGTCCTTTTCGTTGAAAGTCTTTAAAACATTTTTTGCATTCTGTGTAATAAAGTTCCTTTCTTTTCATTACAGTCAAGCCATGCCACGACAAAACAATTTCTGATATGGGTGCAGCAGGTAAAAGGTTTAGAATTTGTGTTTGTTTATGTATATATAATGTTTTTGTGCTGTTTAAATGTGTACAAAACGTTTTGAGGGGAGGCATGGGGATCGAGGGTGTATGGTTATCAGCTTATAAGGTTTAGAAACCAATTTAAAAATATTTTGACAAATAAAAAATCGAATGTGAATGTAGTACCGATTTTCCAAAAGAAATATATATTTCTATTTAAAATAACTGTAAAGTAAGTCAATGAACTATACCAGTATCTTGAACTCATTGTCAAGTCAATAAACTCGTTAAGTAATTACCTTGAATATTTCAACTTTTTAGGAAATTTGGTCCGACGTGACTGACATATAAGGATACTGACTTGAAATATCTATGGTTCTCTAGGCCGTGATATCCACAGAAAATATGAATATACCCAAAAAGACAGGCTTTTAAAGTTTATATTATGCCGCGAAGAAAATGTGTTTACATTCGTATTTAAGATGGGCATTTTATCATTTTAGGTACTGACGTTTCATTGGCTGCTTTAGTGGGGGCTATTTTTTCTGCATTAGTTGTTGGTTTTCTTTTAGGAACGGCTTTCAGGCACTTCTATAAACGTTTAAAAAGAACTGTAATAGGTATTCACTTCCTGTTTAGTGATATATGAGAGTTATCTCTTTATTTGTTTAATAATAATGAATTCTGTATTATTTTTCTTAATAAATTATTGCTTTTGCGTATGCATGGATTCAGCTGTTTGGAAATTAAATGAATCACAACAATTTGTCAAACAATGTTTTATTTTTTCGATGGTCTTGTAGGCTATAAAAGTAAGCATAATAAAGGAGGACTTGTTTCAATCGTCAAAATGACTAGTATAATGCGCTTTAAAAGTCGCTTGTCCCAAGAATTTTTACTGTAAACTGGTAAATACATCTAATTATGATATTGATAAAGTTTATGTTAATAACTTATGTTTGTTAATAAAAATAGGCCACAAGACGCAAGCCCAGCACAAACAAAACCAATTACAAGAAACAGAGATTAATGTCGTGACCCTTCCGACGTAAGTTTTCTCTATAATCATCATTTTTATAACATTTTGCTCAGTTAATGTACTTTTTATATTTGACAATAAATTTGGACACATTTTAAATATCAAGATGAAAAAAATAATGAGAAGAATTCAGCGAAATAAAAGCATTGTAAAATAATAAGATGAAGCAAAGTTTAAGATTGAACACCACTCAAGCCGGTGCTAGCGGGCATGAGAGATGCTGGACTTCTATATTATATCACATGAACAGACTCAATCAACCCGAATCTTCAATTTTTATACAGTTTAATTGTTTCACTGCTGTCTAGTGATCTGCTTCCGAGGGATCACCCCTATCAAGATTTTTATGAATTTACAAGGAAAACAATGAAACATGTTCAAGTAATGTAAACATAAAGAATAATCATTCTTTTATTTAAGCGTCAAATAAAAAATATTGACAATTAGCTGCAGTTATATGACAGCTGTTGTATAACCTCTTCAAAGCGACCCTCTGTTGATAAATTACACCTTAACAGTCATAATGATGTTAACCTCTTTTGAGCAACACCTATCAACAGCAAACTTTAAATCTTTGTATCTCAAAGAGTGTCTCTCAAACGTGGAATTACTATTCAAATCTATATTTCATTGTTATTAATTGACGTTAAAGAATTGAGCAAAAAAACTGTATTGAGAAAAAAATGTAGAAACTTATCGATCTTTTAACTTTTATCCTGACTATAACACTAATTTTAAAATAGTTTGATAACTACATCTTTCGGTAATTTTGCTTACAGGAATACGTACGAACAACTTCGAAACAGAACAGATAAGGAGAGCAGGATGACCTACGACTCTCTGAATGGTATAGCTTACAGCTTTCTTTCTTTACTGAAACAAATCTTAAATTGTTGAATATCACAACATTATCACAAGCCTTCCTAATATATAACAATTCACTTGAACGATGGATCATGCATTATTGTACATTAAGATAAAAAGAACATTTATCTATTTTTGCTTTAACTTACATTCAGAAAGAGAATTGATAAAATATGTTGAACTACATTGAACGGATAGGTAATTTTCAAGGCACCACATCTGACGTTATATGACATGTACACATTCCTTTTTTGCCTTGCTTATATCGTGAAATAATGTTTTGACTGACTGTTTCATATGGTTATAGTATGAAACGTGTTAGAATGTTACAATCGATTGGCATGACTGCTAATGGTATATTGAATATACAGTTTCAATAACGAAATAAGGAAATTACAGATATAACAAAAGACTGGTATCATATATGTATTAAAATGCTGCTTACAATATGATTTGCAAACATTCATATTTAAAAGTATTATAAAAATGTACTATAATTTTATGATAAAACTACATTATTTAAATTGATAATTTAACTGATATGTCTTTCAGTCAATCACAATATGAGAATCTGAAAAAGGGATCAGGAATACCTAACACTTCAAGTCTAAACACATCGGATAAAATGTAATGAAATTCAAGATTGCGAACACGATGTTTCAAGACATAACATAAGTATGACTACGTGTCATATCATTCTTCTGTTTTATGTTACGACTTTGGTACAGTGAATGCAATTGTGGTAGTAAATTTGCTGTCCGCTATTTTCTTTATTACATTTCTATTTTTTCTTGGAAGATGTTTTATGTTTTACTTTTTGCATATTCTTTTCTACAATCGTATTGGATACAACAACATTGTCATTTGATGGTGTGTTCATAGTTTTAAAGAAATTCTAGATATGTTTTAAAGGTTTTTAACTTACATTTTGTTCAATGACAGCTTTGTCACTATAATGATAGTACGCTAGATCTAAAATAAGCCGTGGATTAGATTATGGTAATGTCAAATTGCAGATTCCAGTACATTCTATTGAGCATTGTAATGAAAACTGGTGTTCATTGATGCTAATCAAATGAAAGAAAAAACGAAGGCTGAAGAGTTCTGCAAAAGAATTGAATGTAGTTATTAATGACTTTAAGTAAAATTTTCAAGATCGTGAGCTCACTGAAAGTTCCTGCTCGCGAAAAAGACCTTATTCTCATCAATTTTTTTAAACTGAAAGAAGATCTACACTTTGTTTCTGTAAATGAAGATCAAAGTTAAAATTTATATCCCCCAATGTTCAAAACCAGTTAGATATTTTCAGTGACACTCTATTTATATTCTATATGAGATTTGCGTTATCTTGAGACAAACAAGGTTTTTTCGGGTCTTCTCATTGACCTTGCTTTTAATTAAAGAAGTTTTCATCAATTTATATACAAAATTCCAATTAATGTATCTTAAAAAATAATACATTCTCACGACGATTAACCTTTTAATCAATTAACTACACTCATATGTTAAAGACAATTTATTTATTACTAAGTAAGCTAGAACAAAACCAAAAAAGACAAATACACAGAAATATACATGGATATATTGACAAAATCAAAGCTATCTAAAAACATCGAACGCTGTTTCCTTTTTCATCAACGTTAACGCTTAGGAGATACCACATGCGAACAGACATACCACTAATGCTAAAGGATATAGCACTTCAACAGCTGTAGCACCGTTCATCATCCCTGAAAAGGAATTCATCGGTATCTAGAAATGAATAAATTATAGAAATTATTGGATTGTGTACATTTATATAAAACCGCAAGCAAATCATGATAAATGTTGTGTATGCATTTTGGATATTAAAACAAAACAGTCTTTGTGGTTGAGGTTTACGTTGCACCGACATTGTATAGGTGATAAGGAGGCTTTCCAGCTTCCCTGTTGGGAGAAAACGTCAGGTGCCTCTTTAAGCATTATTTCACCTGAGTAGAACAACCGACGTTCCGTCAGCTAACTGGATAGCTTTTCTCACAGAAAAATCCCCAAAAAGTCTTTTTTATGCTAACTTTTGTCACAAAACACTGAATTTCCGTCGATGCCTTATGAGTTTAAAGAAGTTAAAAGAAGCTATGAATTACTAAAAAAAAGAATATATGTATTTAAAGCAAATTTATTCTACTGATACATCCCTTAAATACTTTCAGACATAATGTACATGCTTTCAAAAAGATACATTTTAATGTTTCAAAGGTTTATTTGAACTGATAATTACCTGTGGTGTTGAGCGGTTGATATGTTGATAGTTCAATAGTCGAAGATGTCAGGGTAACTACAATTATAAATAGGAATTGCATAGACTTCGGATTTCTGCTAACATTATTGTTTGGGACTGCAGACCTAAACAAATAAAATGTGTTGCAGATATTGTTTTTCTAAACATCACAGCAGTATATAAGTATCATACATACCTATATAAACTTTTTTTCATAGGCCAAATGTTTAATGTCCAATATGTGTCAATGACTATAAATGAGGTTGAGTAAACTTATAATTTTTGAAAAATTAGGTAATTTAACTTGAATTGTTCATTTGTTGTTGTTGTTTTTGTTTTGCATTGGCGATTAATAATATAACAAGCTAGATAACAAAGATTCATTAAGACCACTTCTTTCGAGTATGCGGCCTGTCCGCATATGTAACACGCCCAACGAAATATTGTATACTTAATTGTATTATAACATTGGGTTTTTGTGAGGATCTGATGGAAATATTTTGTTGAAACAATCATAAAAATAGTTTCTTCATGGCTGTTTTTATTAAATCAGAACTTCGTTTTGAGTTTTTGAGTTTTGGTTAACTGGCTAGTTTATCAGGAGATACAAATGACTAATAATATTTACTAAAATCGTAAACATCAGTATAAAACTTTGGGTTATTTTCAGTTGTTGTTGAGTTTCCATAAGGATCCCCACTTACAGTAACATAACATTCAAAAGCAAGGTTGTTATCCATATTGGCATCAGCAACTGAAATATTGTACTTTAACAAAGCCACTCGTGTATAACCACACTGATTATCGCTGACTGCAAAACCATCATCGAATGTACCCAGTGGTGGTTGATAGATGATGAATTCATCGTCTGAAGCTGAATCTGATGTTCTATTCCATCTAATTACGGTTCCTGGAAAGCTTCCTATGTTAGCTGTACAAGTTAGTTCCAACTCATCTCCTACCTCAGAAGTCGCCATGTCAGATGGTGACATTCCTTGTACAATGGAACCATTCTTCCTTGCAACTAATGATGTCACTTGAGGTTTTGCTGAAATGTTCGACACATTATTTTAATATTTAGTGTCAATATGTAAGTCATTTAAGCATATAAACATGTTATTGTGATATCGATTTGTTTACGGGCAACATTATTACAAAATACTTTATTTTTCAATATTCATTAACATAAATGATCGATGTTTTGATTCTATAATATTCTATAAAATTTATTCTTCAGTTCTAATATAACATATCATATGTTGAGAAGTTGAATAAACTTCAGCTGAAGCGGCAAAATGGTGCTTTTATATGTCAATAAAACATCTATAATACATTGCATAATCACATGTTAACTGCTCTATGGTATAGACCATAGATATGTGTTAAAAGTTGTTTTAGAATCCCATGATCCTCTAGCAACATACTCTGTACTACCTGATAATAGCTTGACTTAACATAGGGGTTTCCTCTATTCTATGTAATAATGAAAATGTCTTCAAATGGAAAGATAATTGTCACACATTATCATTATCAAATAAAACTTACCATATGCTGAGAAAGTGGCATTCTCTTTAGCATCAATAATTGTTTCTATGATGATGCTTTTATATATCAATTCACATCTATAAACTCTAGCATCATCACAAACTAACTTCTCTATATTAATTGACAATGAAAGATATGTGTTAGCAGGTGTTGTAGAATCCCATGATCCTCCAGCAACATAATCTTTAGTACCTGCTACAGCTGTAATATCATCAGTTAATGTAGGACTTTCATTTGTACCTATTTCCATTAATGCTAATGTCTGCCAATCATTAGGATCTGATCCAGAAAGTGTGGTTGATTTAAGTCTTCGTATCTGTATAAGGTAAATATTTTTAATATCTGTTTCAGTAACATCACATCTCATAGTTAATGTTCCTGAACTTCCTAGTAAAATTTTCTCCCTAGAAATAGTGAAATCTATGCCAGTAACTGCAAATATACAAACATATATATATGTTGACTATTATCATACAATTAGTATAATGTCACTTTAGGTACTCTGATAGTATTTTGTTTTGATTTTGCATGTATGCCTAGTAACGGTGTTTACCGGAGGTCTCACTGTACTTTATTTCTACCAAATTCTTTTCATGTGTACTTTAAAGTATACTACGACTGATGAAACTGATAATAATACTAGCAAGAATATAAACTAGCTTTATGTTTGTTTTTGTTTTGTGTTGTTTTTCTTTGATATTCATGGGCAACTTTTGTACCGCCGAACTCAACTCCTGTGTATTGGAACATTTTGTGTTTTTGCATATGATTTAAAAATTATGTTTGACATTTGATAGAGATGAAATAAACTGCAATATATGAAATGTAGATAAAAATTTATTAAATACCAATCTCACAAACGAGAAGCACCGATCAATATATTCAATATGAAATACTTAAAGGGTATAACGTTCTATATTGTGGTTTACATATAAAGTTTGATAAAATAAATCAGTAAAATTATGTTGTTGTGATAACATTTTGGTTAATTCTCTAAAGAGGTGTAATAACAAATTTTATTGTAATCATTTATGAATTAAATGTTTCGGAACAAAATATTACACTACCATTATCAGTAAAGTTTGAACAGTTTATCAATGATTTTGTAAATGCGCCATCCGCTCATGGGATATAAACAATCATATTTTTATTTCTTTCACATTGGTAGTTTAGAAGTCTTTATTTTTCAAAATCAAAGATATAAATATTACGGAAGATATATAGCTCTACTTACACTAACTTTTGTTTAAGACAAGGACATTATTGACGTTTAATAGGTCAACACACGACAAAGTATGACCGAATTTTAATATGCGGTTCGCAAAATGAATAACAGTCCCGAAGTCTTCAGCCCATATGTCTTTTTATTCGTTTCAGGGCAAACCGAGTATCATGTGGCGTGTATATAGGTATTATATACACTTGATACATATTGAAGGAATAGTAATATGATTTCTTATAACTTTGTTATTTCTGTCATTGAAATTCCTGCTTTTGCATTGTACAATAACTTTAACAGAATGTATTCCCTTGTGTGTATACAAAGTCCACTAGCATTTAAATTATCGATAAAATGTCGTTTTTTTTTCTATTTATTCATAATCGGTCACATGACACTCCTTATCATTTGGAATCATAGAACGTTTCCTTACTATAATATAGTAACAAGTGTATTAATATTTGTTTAAAGACGAACTTAATCTAACTTCGGACGTGCGTTATATAGTTTGTATTTGTTATCTTTATGTTCCATGTTAAACATGTATCGTATAGGAAGTTTGCGTTATCTTTTTATTAAGTGTGTAAATAAGACAAATGAAAATCATTACGATACACATAACACGACACTATATTAAAAGAGATACAAACGCCTTTATCAAAATTTACAATGTTGTAGTGTTAAATGCAAATTATTGTTATCATCTCCCATTAAAGCTAAAATTCAGAATACAATATGTTCAATTCATATGATAATTAATTTTATCGGAATAAATGTCTGTATAGGTACCCATTTAATTGTGATAATATAATCAAATTGCATTGACAACAAAACAAATAAAATGTTTCTTTCTTCATCTACTTTTTTCTCTGAATTCAACACTTTTTGCGTCAGACCCCAGTAATCGGCCCTCATAACCAGCTTTTGAGTTTAACTTACCAACGTATTTCACCTTTTCGGCAAATGACCTACAACTTATTCCACTCGAGTTTTGATTCAAATTTGAAAGACAAATGACTACAGGACACAATGTTCAGGATCTATTGACACGCAGAAAATTAAGATTTGCCATTGGATCGAATACGCGACACCTGAATCAGATGATAACGTTATGTAAGGATAATGACGGGCTCTGATACTATTTAATTTCAGGAAAGATTTTAATTTAGTAATAAACCAAGGTATGGATGCAGAGCAGCACCGGCTGACATGTATAAGTTAATTTTCTAAGATTACTAGCAAGGATGTGTTTAGTTAACACTATTTTGTAGGGTATTTTTTTCTATCTCAAATCCAAACACAAAACAACAAACTCGGATAATTATTCACATCCAAAACAAAGAACTCTGATCATTATTTACATCCAAAATATACGCACTCCATTCTTTAACCATTTATACAAAATGTTTTTCACGTATATGTCTTTTATAAGAAACAATACTAAACACCTGGCGAGCCCGAGTTCTTAACTACTTATGATCAAACAAAAATAATAAAAATCGCCCCGTAATAAAACACAAAATATGTATTATGTTACAACTCTGAGATGTAGTAAAAACCACATAAAACCACCAAATCAGAACTATTTACATGTTCGATAACATACTTATTGAGCTAAACGAGAGGACAAAAATCAGTCAAAATACCGTAAAGAGTGATATAAATAGAGGATATTGAATGTGCGTAAGTTCAATACCGAATTAATTGCAAGAGTTGAATAAAATTATATCATACGAGCCCTTGGCGAGCATAATATCATTTTATTCTACGAGTGCAACAAATTCAGTAATGAACTTACACGAATTTAATATTCCATTTATCACATACCCAAAGTAAAGACAGTTTAAGGTGAAATAAGAATCATTTTTTATTGACGCGCCTATAGTATAACGCTAACATTTAGCGCGTCTTTAAGCTATGTTTGTTTAACGCTAATGACGTCACGTCAAATTATTTGCACGGCGGTGTAATACCATATTTACGGAGTCGCAAAATCGGCACGGGTATGTGATAAAAATATTTAAGTTATTTGGGAGACTCAAAAGCAAAATTGAGTGTATACAAACCAAGTTAAGCGACTTCAGTAAGAATTTCTATATTGTGCGGAAAGAAAACCCCTACAAATCTGATAGGTTGAAAATATATCATTGAATAAGAATACATTTCACTTGGCACAAGCATCGCTACAGTGCCAAAGACGAACAATAAATGTCGACCAACATAAACCAATTCCACGTGTACACAATTTTGTACATCCAATGTGCACTTGTACATGTACCCCAGTTATGTTATAGAGATTAAGTTATATGACCCAGTGTTAACGGTTGTAATGTTATATAACCGAGGCGATAGGCGTATATGATTACTTAAAATAACTAGGAGAAATCACATTATAAACAAATCTTATTTGTTTTTAAACAATTATCTAGAACAGTCATCTTATTTGACTTATATGTGAACATGAATTATGTTTGTAACTGGCGATGTCATTAACTATTTTGTTATTTTATAATTTTTAAACAGTCAATCAAATTTTTATTTACGACATTTCACGTGCGGGATATCGGTGTAGAAAAATGTGAGCTTATTGCTCTCCTGTTTAAGGTTATATTTACAGGGTCTAAGAAACGTGGAAAATATAATGTTTAACTTTTAAGTTCTCAAATTATATCTATAAAACGGCAAAATTTTTAAGTTAGTCACACGAGCAAATGTCGTTTATGATCGAATGTTGGAAATGAAAAATCTAATCTCTATGTCTTTCCCAATACGGGATATTCCTTATTTGCTAAATAATAGATAAGAAAGATGAGTAATGAGACATTAAAGACACATGTAATTGTTACGGCTTTATATCAATTTAAACTCGCCATTAAATAAACCAATTTTGATATTAAGTGAATTTTCCAATTTAGATTTTAGATTTACTTAAACTGTTAGGACAGTTACTTTCTTTATCTGAAACAAAAAAATAGAAGTATATACCTTCAAATACACAAAGTACTGCACAAATGCCAAGAATTCTTAAAAATCCCATTTTCACTCTAAGTAATTTATATAAAACAAGAATTAATGCACATCCGAAAACCGTGCAATATGCAATAACTTTGATATCAACAGTCATTTCAGTGATTTATACACGCTTAGATAACATTGATAACACGCAGTGCTTTGATTTATAGCATCTCTTTGTGCAATGTCCCTTAAGCATTTATTACAGAAACTATATTAGTAAGGTGGCTAATATTTAAAGCAGTTTTAAAACTTTAAATCACAATTATTGTGTCTGTTTTTCAGTTCAAGTAAGCTTTATCTCACTATGTAGTGTTTTTATAAATGCAAGAGTACAAATCTTGAGTAAAAGTATAACATTCTCACCCTGAAATGAGACTAAGCTCATATTCACCCCCCCCCCCCCCCTTAAAGAAACAAAAACGATTTGTTTGTTTGTTTGTTTTATTTTACGCCTTCCCAACAGTATTTCAGTCATATAGGCGTGTTTTTTCCTTACCATCGTTCCTGGAGAGTTACATCAGTACTAGACTACCTTCCTCCGCGTTAGACTACCAAAGCATCTCCCGGGGATCGAACCCACGCCAGAGAGGTAACTGGATTAGAAGTCATCTAACCCCTCAACCACAGAGGCAGTTCAACAAAAAAGAAAAACAAAAACAAGAAATGCAACATTTTAAGATAATAAATAAATAATTAAACAAAAAAAAAATAGATAAATGAAAAAAAAAATAATAACAATAATTATAATAGATAATGATCATGACGATAATAAGAATACTATGTTGATTCTTTGGAATTTGGTTACAGTAAAGTTTTGATTGAACAACAACAACGACAACAGTTTATTTTCATACATGTTTTAACAACATTAGAGTTTTATACATGAAAAAATGTACAGTGCTTCAAGTTTAATATATAGATATTCAAATTTGTTCCATGTTTTGTCATGTTAATTTATCTATTTCAGATCGAATGAATTGTCAAATTTTCTGTAAGATTGAAGCAGAGTGAAAGAGTATTCATCAAAATGTAAAGGATTTAAATAAGTGTTGGAGTGTAGATGGTTTCTTGTACATTGAAAGTGTTTTCCCCCTTTTCATCTTTTGTGTTAAGAGATGGACTCAAAAGACCATATTTCTGGTCATTATTTTGCGTAGAAACCATCGCAGTGTGAATAAAATGCCTGTAGTGACCACTCCCATGTAAGTGATTGTTGTTTTTTCAAAACAAGGTTATAATATTGTTTGATTATAAATGAGTAATGTTGGTCTGAAGGAACTGAAAGAAAACATAATAATATATATTCAAACGGCGCAATATGACTTTCAAGATACTGTTATTTTTCAATATCTTCTCGTTGCAGTTTTGTCGTTACCATCTTGTTAACAAGTTGTTAACAAATATATTCAACTACTGTTCAGCTAGTTGACATGTATCAAATTAAACATTTGAACAGAGAAATAAATTGAATTTACCATTAATTTATTCATGAGATTTTTCCATATTTAACAGACTAATGTGATATTAAGATTGTACGAGTATTTGAATGATATACTCTCCATTAATAATTCTTACCCTATTTTACAGTTTGCATCATATGTGTAGACTGTTCCACCACATTTATTTAAAATGTCCCTGATCATTGAGGAAATATATCTTTCTGAATCATAAATAAATTCATGGAACAAATAGAATTAATTGATAATATTGCAAGTTTTCATGTCACTTGTTCTAAAAAGATTGGTGTAGTTTTGTCACTTGATTAAAAATATGTTTCAACTTAAAAACGACTGGATCCTGATAAACTTTATGGCTAAGCTATTCAAAGAAAAGATTCAAGATTCAAAATTTTATTTGGGGTAATATAAGCCCCCGCCCAAAAATACACATCAACATGTATAAATTACACAATCATACATTGTTAATGATTGTGATACTTCATTTTATTGAATATTATATGGGTAAATTCAACACTTAACATACCGAACGAGTTAAACAAAACCATATTACACGAGCCTCTGGAAAAGAATAATATTGTTAATTTAACGTGCTTAATAAACTCAATATTGAATCCACACAAACATTATATTCCATCCAGCACATATCTAATTCAAGAACCCCTTTTTTTAAACGTCTGCGCCAGTGCGCTTCAATGCCATATTTGTAAACAACAGCAACGTGCTATTAGACTAGTGTAATACCGTTTTCGTATTTTCTGATCGCTGATCAGGAAATACAATGCTGACATTTAATCTCAGATACAGCATTTCCCCGACAAGCCTAACAACTAGTAGTTCTCACAACAGCTTAAAGAAATATTTTTTTTTGTTACAAGTATCCAACAAATAACAACGCCGTCACAGTTTAAAAGTAACTTTGGCTTATAATGCACATCACAAAATACGCAGATGAATATCATTTTATTCAATGAAAATTGCTCGGCTATTTCCGTAAAGCTTAGGATTATTGTGATGGGTATTAAACGCCCCTCAAGGAATATTTGTTATTTAGACTCTCTGAAAAATTAAGTAAGGATGTTGACTTTAGGACAGGGTAGAATTTAGGGCAGTCGAATTTCTGCTTAAAAGTTAAGCACCCGATAACGTAATTCGTTCCACGTAAACAAAATGCTATTTTTAGCGATGTTGATTACCGAAATCTTCAGCGCGTATTGCACAAATAAATCTGACTGTCGGGTAGAGAAATATATATATGTCGGACTGTTTGGGCGATAAGAGTTTCGCTAAATTATCTACAACAGTGTTAAACAACAGGTTTACCGTGAACAAAATACATCGAAATTAATAATGATTACAATCCCTAAATGGAAATTCTAAATCTAAAACCATTTGTTTTTTTATTTAGGCCTATCGGTATAATTTCAACGTGGTACCTTTGGTAACACACTCGTTTAGGGTGTGAGCGGCCAGGGGTTCAAATCCTAGTCGAGGCAACTATTTTACGTAGTGTCATTTTACCGAATTTAGGGGCAGGGTGACATTATTATAAATATGAAAATCACTTTGTTTAAAAACAAACATTTTGCTCGTGTTATTTCTAACCCGAATGTAACTTTTTGTTTCTAAACAATAAGCAATAGGAAAACATTTTTCATAATGATGATATTATAGATTATTTAGAGTTTTCTCATTTCTGAAAAAAAAACACCTTCTGACAGCAAAGTTTTAGTTCAGAAATATATCCATTACTCATAAACCACAAGGTAAATTTTATTTTAATTTTGCATACAGGTTACCTTTAAGACACATAACTGCCATATGTTGTCAATTTCACAGTTTCTTATTGTGCCCATTTCCCATGGGTCTACCTTAAGGAAGTAACTTCGATTTGCAAGGATAAAGTGTTGCTGTCATAAAAAATGAACTTTAATGATTTCATGATGCAAGTAGAAACTCTAGTCGTGCAAATTCCGTATGTATCAAACTCAAACTGTGATACAAAAAAATCTAAATGCAGTCGCTGCAACTCCATGCCCTGCAATAATAATTATAATATATCAAAATAAACTAATACAGGAAAATACATACAGATAAACAGTACATTTGTATACCATTCAATATAACTTATGTTATTGCGCGTTTCGCTCGGTTTCTTTTTAACTTTTTTCAAGGCTTTCCTTAACTCATTTACATTTGTACAGAATTCACTCATTATTCACGCTGCTGTTTTTGGTATGCATATTTTTGTATCTTTTTGTTTTGTTAGAGTTTTTAATTGTTACTTTAATTGTTTACACAATCAAATATCTTCATGGTCTTTAAAATTCTCAACCTACGTAAAACTTTATATTTACTCTGTTTAAGAATATCACAATCTTCACTTTACCACGATAGTTGTGTTTAACTTACACGTGTTTTGCCGATTGTCAGGCCTACACACATTTGCAACCCGCTTCTGGATATGCGCTCAAAGCTTCATTGATATTTGAATTTATTAATAAGTGTATAACTAAGCGTCATCAAATTTCTACATAGAGAGAAAATGCATACTTTCATTTGCTGACCATTTAAAGTTTAGTAGTATTAACATAGCTCATTCTCTTATCAATTTTAGACTTAATAGTACAATAATCTGATTTATCTCTATCTAGTACATTGACATATGTTATATACTGAAAAAAAATCTCACACACTATGATAAAGTCAACAGTACTTGCTCCTTCCCCTAGAATACATGTAAAATGACCTTAATAATAATTTAATCTACTATTCAAAATTTGCATTTCATGAGTACAAAACAAAATTATCTACGAACGACCAAAATTATTAATGCGAGTATCTTTACTTGATCTCGACAAGTCAAAATAACTGTTATAATAATCAGTTTCATCAGCTTAAAGGAAAAAATAATTTCCGACGGATGCTGTAGAATTTAAGATATTTTGTTATTTTGTCTGCCTTTGGTGTTGTAATACTCGTAACAGTTGCCAAGGATACGCAACAACGTCAAGTTTGATGGTCAACTATAACGTCGAGTGTACAAAATTGGCTGAAACTATTGGAATAAAAACAAAAGATTCTAATCAGAAATATGGTCAACTTTCTGCATGCCAATTTTAAGACGCTACTTGAAAGTTCGCAAAGTGTCTCGTTCGACCTTAATGGGCAAAATTTGTACAAAAAGAACAATGCAGTCCTTAAAATAATTAAATATTCTAGTACTTTTCACATAATCTTGTAAAAAGGTATCACATTCCCAAATATATCTAGCCCAAGTTTCAATTAAACATACAATGCCATACTTTGACAAAAACTGCATAAGAGAAACTTACCAATATATTTCTTTGGTCCCTGTATATTCAACGATGAAATATTGATCGGTAACACAAAATTGTTATTGTTTTGATTTTTGATTTATTTTCTAGGTGGGAACGACCCTTTAATGATGTGTGTTCCAATCCTTAAGTTGCGAGGTTATCTAGGTATCCGCGTCATCGCCCACATGCTCATTATCATCGTGAAATATTAAAATTTACCTCTATACCACGTGGTAGACCTCGTGGATTGAATCGCCGTTAACTAATAGACACGACTGCTTTATTTACATTGTCATATTTCATGACTTGATTCTCTGATTACTGATCATGTATACTG